TTTTTGATTTTGGCCCTTCCTTTTTGGGGTCGAAAAATATACATTTCAGCCGTTGGAACTTCCCCACCTCCAGTGAGCGTGCTACTCTGCCTACGAGTAATAAATGAAATTTATTATTTCCACGGACTTTCTGTTAGGTGATGTAGTAAACTATTAAGGTTGTACAAGCCTGTTTGTTTACCTAATCATACCTACCAGAAAATCTGTTGAAACCCGCCCACCTCCCCACAAGCTTTCGGCGCGCGCGGGGTGGCCCCTTAGGAGAGGCCTTTTTTTCTATAGGTAATGCTACCCTAAGGTGTTCTTTGTGAACAGGGTATATTCCCAAATAGTTTCCGATTGGGGCTGTAATCTGTAGTTAAGCCTACGAGTAATAAATGAAATTTATTATTTCCACAGACTTTCTGGTAGGTATGTTTAGGTAAACAAACGGGTTTGTACAACCCTAATATTTTAGAACATTCTCAAACAGAGTTTTTTGGGTACGAAACAGCATATCTGTCAACAAAACAAACTATCAGTATTTGTTATCAAGAACAATAAAACATTTGCACAGAAGTCAGTGATGCTTCTACGTTGATCTTTCGGCTTAATGAGCTCTATTTTTTCAATTTAGTGGACACACATGGAAAACGAACAGCGATAGCAATATAAGCAATGATGTCATAGCATATCTAACAATTAAGTTTCCTAACCGTTCCTCTATTAACCGTGGTTTACCTTATTTTTCTGTCAACTAAATTTTCTTTTCTTGCAATAAACCTGACAACGAGAACCATTACAAAGAGAACTGCCTGGCATCAATACCCAAGCAGTTACAATCTATAGAATAAGACATGTTCTTTGTTCTTGTTTTTTTATATAAAATTATGCAAGTATTACAAGCTTTATTGAAACGCATAAAATTCCGGTGAGAAAATAAAATGGTTACATAACACAAATCAAATAAAGTGGACAAGAAATAATAAAGGTTACGCAATGGAATACAAGTTACAAAACAACTGTCTAACAATTCAAAAACACTAGAACACTCCCAATAATATATCTGTGGGCAGTATTTGAAGAATTTCAAGTTCGTTGATGGTGTTGCTGTCTACTACACATGCTGTTTTTAATGTACTGGCCAAGTCAACTATGGATGGAAATGTTACTATTGCACATTATCATATACTTTACTTGATATTCATATAATTGTTTTTTTATTTTACAAAGACTAATGCCATCCACAGTTGTACTTATTTTTCGCCTTTTCAAATGTGTTTCTTTTTGAACAAGAACAATAGAATGAACTCAAGGCAATTAACACTGAGTATGCTAACACATTGGCACATTATCCTGCCCTCCCTGTGTTAGCCAACATCGTGCTAACATGCAACACAGAGCTAGAAATTTGGTAACTAAGTTTTGAGCTGTAGCTGTATGCATGTAGATTTTCTTACTATTCAATCAAATATGGCTGACTGGTAGCTAGCCATTTTGTCCTAAAATTGTTAAATTCTGGTACTTATCCGAAACCATTTTTTGGAAATGAACCATTTCATTCAAACCTTATACGGTATAAGGTCATGTATATTTGGTTACATGTGCACGTCATAATTATCTTCAGAATTCAAACAAAAATGGCAGATTTTTCTTCATTGCTATGCTGATTTCTCTCTAATATATCACTTGATTCAGTTGAAAGTTCGTACACAAGTACTATATTCACTATTTCTACTTCCATGCTACAAGTGTGTGATTTGTCTAAAACTGAAGTCTGTAAACGTGTCCGGGACCATTTCTGGAGATGAATAGGGCAATTTCATTCATTTTTCCAAACAGGATGATGCATATTGTGTTGCAGGTTGGGTGATTTGGTGTCCATTTTGTTTTTAGTCCCCGTTCGGACACAGTCCGAAAACGGGGACTTATGTTTTGACCTGTGTGTGTTCATGCGTGCGTGGGTGCGTGCGTGCGTGTGTGTGTGTGTGTGCGTGTGTGCGTGCGT